TCTTTCCCTCCCTTTTCCCTTTTCGCATTTACTTTCCTTACACACTGTTGAGGCCCAAAAAATCCAAGGTTTGGCCCAAATATATTTCTAGCCCAGTACGACATCTAACTTGGGAAGAAACCCAACTTGGGTATGCAAGAGTTCGTCATATATGCTTGTACACGTGTCATACCAAGCAAATAAGCAACACGCCACGCTATAAGCTTAAGTGGGCCCAAGCCACAAGAATGCCTTGGGCTTACTGAGTGAGTTGTAGTATGGATGGTAACGAGTTTTCATGAGGCCCATTAATAAGCTGAGAAATAGAAGTTTTGGGTTGCTTGGGAGCCCTGAAACTCAAGCTTATTTCTTGAGCCCAAATATGTGGGTGAACATAAAGGAGAGAAAAAAGCCCAATACTCTAAGAAAAATAGCCCAATACTCTAGGAAATTAGCTCATTCCCTTAATAGGTTAACAGATCACCTTAGAAAGGCCCAAGCAAGCAAGGAAAATATTTGCAGCCTCCAGCACTTAGCTGGAGACAAAACCACGACAAAAGCTAAAGGCCACTCGCGTCTGCAGGCTGCTGGGAATCTCTAGCACATGGCCAAAGACAAATACCAACACAAGCCATCCAAAAAACCAAAGGATATTTGAGCAAAACACCCTTTAGACCAGCGCCATTACCCACTCATTTCTTACCATGAAATAAAGGAGGAAAGAAGGTGAGGTAGTAGCTAAAAATAGGAGTTTAACACTGAAGCAACTACGGGAAGGCCTTAGAGCTCCTAAAAATCTTGTCTTTATGTGTTTGGACAGAAGAAGATTTCACAAAAGAAGTTGAATCGAAGGAAGATAAGAGAAATGGAGAAGAAGACTTAGCAAAATTAGAGAGAACCAACTCGGGTTCCTTGGGAAGGAGAAGCTTCCAGCAGCTATAAAAGGAGGTACCTCCTATGTATTAAACACAACCACACCCACTACTTCACCACTAGCTAAAACACATATCCAGAGAGCAAACTTCATCTCTCATCCCTGAAACCTCTGCAATTTCGAGCCACATTCCTCTATCTTCTCCCATTTTCTCTTATGGAAAATTGTTCCAGACTTGACAGAGCTTTCGTCAAGCTACCAGAAACTACTTAACACACCCATTATTATTCTCCCATCTTTCTCTTTTCAACGAACCCACTTAGAATTCCTTCCCCTTGCCTTAAAACCCTTGTTTCTCATAGGAACTCACAGCCCTCTCTCTCTTTCATGCTAAACTCATGAGTGCTTAGCTTCCATGCCACAAGCTTCTCAAGCCAAGGCAAGAATTTATTTATAAGCAACTGTTGGTTTCATTGGTGAAGGAGACCAAGGTGTTTCCCAAGGCTTAGCTACCCTTTTGAAGTACTCTTGGGGTCTAATCCTTGAACTTAGACTCAAGGGGCAATTTCATACATTTGGATCTTTACAGCAGCGCAGGCCCATCAGTAGCTGCTGAAACGAAAAAGTCCCTACATAAATGGGTGACTCTGCTAGGGATTAGGCCGTTATCTTCATCAGTACTTCAAAGGAAGAAGTCCAAGCAATAAACCAGAGAAAATAAAAGATAAGAATATTTCCTCTTTCTTTTTTCCTTTATTGGCTATCAACTTTACAAAACAAGCATAACATGTGCCTTTTGCTTGTGTCTTAGATCTCCATTCTCAAGCAAAACCAGATCTTGTACGAGGGCTAGGGGCTTAGGCAAATACATCATTCATGCCATTGGGCGAACTACACATGCAAACTCCAAAATACTTGGGGCTCCATGCCAAGCAAATATATATATATATATAAAAAGTCAAGCACAAACATTTCAAAGTTTCTCATGTTAAACCAAGCTATACCTCGGTTCCAAGAGCTGTGTGATTCAATGTTATTCACATCTTCAACCAACTCTAAGCTATATACATTCATTCATCACTGTTTCCACCACTTCTAATATCTTAAACATTCTCCAGGCACTTGCCTTATTTCAAACCTTCTCAGCCCTTTCCTTATTTCAAAGATCCTGCCAACGTATATGCTCCTTAACCCCCAGAGCTCAATTTATCCTTGCAACAATTCAACAAACTTATTACATATCTGAAAGAAAACTCAACCTTAACAACTAGCTTGTTCTCTGTCTCACCCAAAGTCTCTCTAGTCAAGCAATTCAAATCTTCCATAAGCCTTCACATTGCAAGTCAAGACGAAAAACTCACCTTTATTCTATCAAGTTCCTAGCAAATTAGTAAGAAGATGACATCTCTCATGCTTTGGAGCCTCTAAATCAAGCTTGAAAAAGAAACAATAGAATACGTTGGCCAAAAATCAGGTGTCGGAAGGGAACTCGTAAACAAAAAGGGGGTGCCATAAACATAATTGCAATTGAAGCATAATTTATTCCAAGACAAGTTGCACGCAACCAAAACTCACCTTCATGTTATCAAACTCTAAGCAAATGAAACTTCTCATGCTTTAGAGCCTCTTAATCAAGCCTGAAAAGGATACATTAGCTAAGAATCAGATGCTGGAAAGAGATGCTTGTTTTATAAAGGTGAATGCTTCAACACTTGCATGCTTTCATTTTCTTTGAAGAAACTCCTGCAAAGTAGAAGATGATGCATGAGCAGCAAGCAAACTCATCAACCAAGCATTTGAAAAAATTCACATGGCATAATACCAATCCACATGCCAACAATACCATTCAATATCATGCTCTCACGACAATATTGCTCAAGAACATGCTCTAGCAATACCCAGATCAGCCTCAATGCCAAGAGAAAAGACATGCCAAATTTTTTTAAAAAAAGCAACATGCCAAGCAAAACTTATACACAAGCTTTCCAACCATTCTAGCTAGAACATCCCACCTTTAGAAAATCACTATAAATCAAGTTTACATCCAACAAATCTAAAACTTTCTAGATTAGAACTAGACATACCAAGCCTCATTTTTCCAAAATTTTGTTGAATTTAGAGCTAGGGAAGCATGTCAAACAGATTCCTGAAACAGCTCATGCAGCAGGAGCTACACAGCTCTAGCAGCTTAACCCTCACTTTGAAATTCCACCGAAAATTCATTTTCACTTCAAGTGACGCACGACCAATTCCAACATAACCATTGAGAAGTCCATTTTCATGTATCAAAAGCTCCAACTCAGATTCGAAAAGAAACATTTCAAAAGTTCAAAAAACAGCCAGCAAGCTACTTTGAGATATTTTGACAAACACTTGTTTATCACTAAGCTAGAATCCTAAACCAAAAGCTCAACCTCCAAATTCAATTTCTAGTTAAAAATTCTAGGAAATACAGAGGAACTCAAGTATTCTGAAACGACCTGATCCAATTTCCACTTTGGAATCCCGGTCGAAACCTGTTTAAAACTGACACCTGGTGACTGTGGGTCAAAAATGACCAAAATGTCCTGAAAACAGTAACACAACTGAGGGACTCTGATTCGTGACTGCAGTTAGGCTGCCTACGTACCCTTTCTGAGGGATCAAGCCACACGTAGTTCTTTCCTCTGTTCCGGACCTGTAACTGGTTTGTTTTACTGTAAACCTCACTCTAGGGCTGACATTTCTGGAGTATCCGGGACTCCATTTTACGATCTGTCAAATACCATACGATCCTGGGAAAGTCTAGATTAACATACTTGGAATTAACTACAATCCAACGGTTCAAACGTATTGAACCCGGAAATCGCATACTAGGCGAGATCCGTTCGGGGTCTAAACGATATCCGAATTAAGTTCCGCGAAATCCTACGCGCTCGTGAGGGCTAGGAGGTCATTCTAAAACTGACTGTGATCCCCACCTCGTTGCCCACGCGCCGCCACACGCTCTGGCAGCGCGTGGTGCCTGAAGCGATAACGCCTCGCCGGAAAAACTCAACATCTCGGCTCAAGACTCCTATCCTAGGTAAAACACCCTATTTGGAACCACTTTTGTTCTTCGACCTACCCCAAAAAGTGGCCGGAAGTGGCTGAAACCGTGATCTCAAAACTGGCCGAATCCTAGGTTCGAAATTAACCCTCTCACGCTAGAAATTCCTCAACTCCTACTCAACCATCAGCTAGATCATGAAAAATAGCTAGAAATTCATACCTCACACGACTGGATTGGTGGCCGGAGGAGGGAGAAACCGCTAGCCAAAGTTCTGTCAAAACCGGGGCGGAAACAAAGGGTTTCAC